AGGAAGGAAGGAAGGAAGGAAGGAAGGAAGGAAGGAAGGAAGGAAGGGTGGATGGAAGGAAGGAAGGAAGGGTGGATGGATGGATGGATGGATGGATGGATGGATGGATGGATGGATGGATGGATGGATGGTGAGTTCTGGGAGCAGAACAGAAATTAACTGAACTATAAGCATCCTGAAGATACGGTTATGTCCTTTCTTCGCATCACCCATGGTACTAACACTGAAGTGGTCTGGGGGTCATGCCACTGAGTTTGATCTCATCTATTTCTCCAGAGTTGTTGAACTGGGCCTGTGACGCCTGACCCCAGGGTCGGGAAGAGGAAGGACAAGGTCTAAGGACACTTACGAGAAAGGCACCACACATTCGCTTGCTGAGCTGAGAAAAGGTGTTTGAACAGCCAGTGCTGCTGGCTGGGCAGGGACCGGTTCCCACGGACCACAACCTGCTCAAGGTCCACAGGGGAGAACAGCTCTGTTGTCAAATCTGAAAGAGAAGGAAGGAGTCAGCTTCTTTTGCCTTTATCTCCTCAATCCAGCAATCTCTCTCTCTCTCTCTCTCTCTCTCTCTCTCTCTCTCACACACACATACACATACACACATGCATGCTCACACATGCACACGCACATTTTCAGGGTATGTGAGGCCAGAGCAGATCTGAAGTCAATAGAGCTGGGAGTCTGGTCAGGCAAGAAAGGTCCAGAAGGTCCCAGAAAGTCCTAAAAATTATGCAGTTGCAAAAATCTTAGAATCTTGGTTTAGAAAAAACCTTGGGAGCCATCTGGTTCAACTTTTCACCCGAGGCAGGACTCTTTCGCGGGCTATTTCTGGCCGCTGCCCCGGCAGCTCGCGTGCCACATCTGTGCTGACCACAGCAGCCCCCACCCCAATCCTTAGGATGCTGTGGAGTCCAATCCGACTCCTTGTAACTTTGAGGCACTGATGCCCCTTCTGTCTTCTGAAGCCACGTGGAAGTCCCATCTCCGTCCCTAATGAAAGCCTTCATCTGTGAAGACAGCTGTCAGCTCCACTCAGCCCCAAACCAGAAGATCCAGCTTGTCCATCCCCCAGTCTCTCCTTGTGTCTTCAGACCCTATGACCCCCCTGCTTCAGGCTCCTTCTGGGCACCCCGCTCTCCGAGGACAGACGTCCAAGCTTTCTTCTTGGTCCAGGCTCTCCCCACATCTTGAGCCTCATCTCCAGGGGCCTGAACTCACGCTCTGGAAGCTTGCAGACACTGGTGACCCTAGGTCACCACCACACTGCTGGCTGCCCTGGGTCCCTGCATGTGCCCGTGTGCATCCACACCATGCTTCCCGCCCCCGGTTCCCCTGGGGCCAGCACTGTCCCCTCCTGCTCTGATGTCTTGTGGCTCTATAAACAAGTTCCCCAGTGCTGAAGGATCCCATACACAGATCCAGAGCTGGGGAGATATTTCTGACTTTGCAGAGGGGCTTACCCTAGGGGCATGAAGCAGGCCATGCAGATGAGCCCGGCACATGCACAACGTCCCTTAGCTCGTGGCTCTGGCATAAGAGGCATGGCATCCCACATGCACCCCGCTTTGCCTTGGAGCTTCCTTTCCAGCAACAATCCCCAAAGGGAGTAAAAGATTTACGAGTGTCTGCCAAGGCCAGAAGCTTAGTGCCGGCTGACACCCCAGGGACCATGTTGCCACCCTCTCCCTGGGCCTCCCAGGCCTGTGAGCTACTGCATCTCATTTTATAGCACAGTGGCCAGTTTGCCTGCCCTTGTCCCAGCTGAACCACACCTGGCACAGGTTGGAGAGCGTGGATCACCTCTGAAGACTGCAGAGTAAGGAAGGGAAAACAAGAGAGTGGGCCTAAAGGCACACTCGAAGTTCCTTCAGTCTCGCTCTGCCCTGCTCTCAGAGCCCTCGCACAAACTGCTCCCTTACCCGGGACACCTCCTTCCAGGTGTCCCTGAAACGCCTGGAAGGTCCTTCCGGGCCCCTCTGAGAAGCCTTTCTTGACTCCTACAGGTCGCCTAGCACCACCCCTCCCCATTTCACCTGTCCCCATCCCAGCCGTTGTCACACTGCCATGCAGTGGCTGGCACATGGGAATTCTAGTCTGTGAACGTCCTACATGGCCCAGCACACTTGCTCAGAAAAGCTCTGCTGGTTGGCAGAGTGAACACCGCAGCCACTCAGTACTCCCAGCTTACACGCCGTAGGAGGGAGAACCCGGTCCCTTCTCATTCTCAAGGCTTGGCTTCCCCATGAGGGCGAGGAGGCAGCTCGGGGCCTGCCAGACGGGAGGTTGTTGCTGGCTCCCCTGCGTGTCTCAAACACTCAGGCCGGCTGCAGCACCCTGAAGCAGAGAGGGCCAATTCCATTCCCCACCGCGCTTTGAGTCTGAGTGGGACAGGCCAGGTAAAGGAGCCCGGAGACGGCACGGAGGAGCGGCCCAGAGGGCTTCTGCCGCAGGGCCGCAGCTTCTGAAGCCCGGGAATGTAATCAGCAGAGAAGGGAAACCAAGCAGAGCTCTGTCTACTCACTGGGAATCTCTCCAGGTCCTGGGGGG